CTCTAAAGCATGTTAGGTATGTTCCCACCTCCAGATTGTTCCCACTAGTTATTCCCTCTTCCTGGAGGGCTTTTCTCCCAGGTACCCTCAGATTTTGCTCCTGCTGCCTTCTTTGACCTACCCTGACCAGCCTTCCCTCAGTACTCCTGATTCTTCCTGTTCTATTTTTTTAGTAGTATTTATCACCTTCTTATGTATGCAGTTAACTTATTTACTGTGTTTATTGTTTAATTCTGTTTTCATCAGTCGAAATAAGCTTCACCAAGGTAGTTTTTTTTCTTCTCTACTTAGTTTGTGCCTGACACAAAGTAGACACAAAAAATACTTGTTGAATTAATGTTTATTTATTATTTGGTTTTTTCCACTACTGTTTTCGAAGTTTAACACTGTTTTGTATTTTCATCTAGGATTTTTAACTTTCATACTTATTTTACCAAAATATAGAGTTAATTGATACCTGTAATCTTTTCTTATATAAGAACTTTAGGACACTTTAACTCCTTTTACCTTCTCTTACCTCCTCCTAACTCAAGATATTATTATGTTTAAAACTTTTTAGATTTTAACATTTCAATTTGTTAATTATTTTATACAATCAATATTCATTTAGATTAAGCCATATATAACTCTCTTAAGGCCTTTCATTTCTTCTTGCAACTCAGATATGCCATCTGGGATTGCTTACCTTTTGCCGGAAGGATATCCTTTATTATTCTCTTAAGGGGAAGGTCTGTGTTAACATGTTTGAAGTGTTCATTTCCCCAGAAATGTCTTTATTTTGTTGTCAGTATTAAAGGATATATAGAGTTCTAGGTTGACAGTTTTTTGTTTTGTTTTGTTTTGTTTTCAATGTATGAGAGAAATCAGTACACAATAGTCTGGTTTTCATTGTTGCTCTTGGAAGGTCAGCTGTCAACCTAATTACTGCTGTTTTCTCTCCGGCTATTCTTTAGATTTTTTTTTTCATCTTTGATGTCTACAGTTTCAGTATGATGTGTCTGTTTAAGGATTTATTTTTTCTACCTGGAGCTCAAAAAGCTTCTTGATTTGGTGGATTGTTGTCTTTTACTGGTACTAGAAATGATCTTCTCATATATTTCTGCTTCACACTGTTTCTTTTCTTACTTTCTGGAATTTTGATTAGACCTGTTATACTCTCTTACTCTGAGTATCTCAAACTTTCTTTCATATTTTCTATTTCTTTATCTCTCTGAGCTGCATCCTAAATAATTCCTTAGGGACTTTCATTTTACTAATGGTCTCTTCACCTTTGTCTAATCTGTTGTTAAATTTGTCTGATAATTTTGGATTTCAATAGTTGTGCTTTTTATTTCTAGAAATTTTATTGATACTTGGTTCTTTTTTTTTTTTTAAGTATCTTCCCTACAGATATTTTTCAGCATGGCTTTTATTTCTTCAAACATACTATTTAAAAATCAAATCAAATCAAATCTGATAATTCCAGTGTCTGAAATCTTTGCAGTTATTTTTCTGCAATTAGATATTTCTTTTTCTACTTTTTTTCTTTTTGAGTTACTCAAAAAGTTTAGTCTGCTACTGTACCAGCATTTTTGAAAAACAAAATAGTTGTGCTTTTTTTTACATAGTACATACTCTTTGTAATATTTTAAATGGCTCTGTATTTTGTCTAGTGACTCATAATTTATATAATAATTCTTCAATTTAGACATTAAGCTTGTTTCTTTAGGGCTTTGCTATTATAAATAACACTGATAAACTGATTTCATAGGTAAAAATGTTATCTCTTCATTTGTATTACCTTAATTGCTGTTGTGGTAGTACCTTTTCCAAATGTAAAATATGTATTCTTAGTTATGCGAATCTTAAACCTTTTTCTTAAAAGTTTGTGTAAACCATTGCCTAACTGGTTACTTTGCTAAAATGTTTCTGTTTCTGCTTATTTGAGGAATGTAGATTTACAGAAACTTTGCAAATGATTCTTTTGTCGAGTATTAACAAATGTTCTTGTTAATCATATTTTACTTGGAAACAATTATTTAAAATTTGGCCCTGGTAATTGTTTGCCAGTTCTTTCATTTATTGCTATTTAATGTTCAGTGAGTGTTATCTCAAGAATTTTCCTCATTTCTCTAAAACCTACTACAAGTCTTCTGCCTCATACCCCCCACCCCATAGCCATTTGTATTAGTCTCTTTGTTTTGTTTTAAAAGTAGGTCCCTTGCCCTTGCCACAAATCTCAGTGGTTTACAGCAATTAACATTTATTCCTCTCACATGACTGACACTTAAACAGCTGCAAATCAGCTTTTGCAAACTTCCTTCACATGTCTTTTTGATGGAGGGCCCAGGCTGAAGGTGTCACTACATTTGAGACATGGCATTCTTGTGGCAGAGAGTAAAAAAATAAGAGAGCTGGTGTAAACGCATAATGCCTCTTAAAGCTTCTGCATAGAGGCAGTTTATGTCCTGTTTGTCCGTGTGTTCCTATCACATGACTGTGTGCAGTGGATGTTGCATAGAAGTGTATGCTTCTCCCACAGGAGACACTGCAAGTCACATGACTGACCAGAGTTACATGGAAGGGTCAAGTGAATACTTGGCAACAGTAATACAATCTACAGTATCTCTTCTTATTTTTAAAAAATATATTTTAAAATTTATTTATTTATTTATGGCTGCGCTGGGTCTTTGTTGCTGCATGCGGGCTTTCTCTAGTTGCGGTGAGCAGAGGCTACTCTTCGTTGCAGTCCATGGGCTTCTCATTGCGGTGCCTTCTCTTTTTGCGGAGCACGAGCTCTAGGCGCTTGGGCTTCAGTAGTTGTAGCTTGGAGGCTCTAGAGCGCAGGCTCGGTAGTTGTGGCGCATGGGCTTAGTTGCTCCGCAGCATGTGAGATCTTCCTGGACCAGGGCTCGAACCCGTGTCCCCTGCAATGGCAGGTGGATTCTTAACCACTGCACCACCAGGGAATCCCTACCGTATCTCTTCGTATGTTTAATTTTCTAGTGTAAATTTTCGCGATAACTTATACCTGTACTGAAGCCTCTCTGATAAGTCTTCCTTTATGCCTTAAATATAGTTAATTCTGTTATGAAAGTGAATCATTTTACCTATCATCTTTTTTTTTAACTTTTTACTTTATATTGGAGTATAGTTAATTAACAGTGTTTTGTTAGTTTCCGGTGTACAGCAAAGTGATTCAGTTATACATATACATGTATCTATTCTTTTCAAATTCTTTTCCCATTTAGGTTGTTACATAATACTGAACAGAGTTCCCTGTGCTATACAATAGGTCTATGTTGGTTATCTATTTTAAATATAGCAGTGTGTACATGTCAATCCCAAATTCACTAATTATCCCTCCCCACCACCCTTCCCCACTGGTAACCGTAAGTTCATTCTCTAAGTCTGTGAGTCTGTTTCTGTTTTCATTTTACCTATGATCTTGAGCCTACTTGAATGTAAGTTTAGCAAGGGCAGAGATTCTTGTCTGCTTTATTCATTGCTTCCTCAGCACTAGAAGAATGCTTGCCTCCTAATGTGCTTTCAATAAATATATGTTTCCCTTCTTATTTCATCACTCTGTCAGTTATTCTCATTTTCTGTGTCTTCATTTATTGTTGGTTCTCTCTGCTAGCTCTGTCCCTGAAGTCTCTCAATGACTGTATTTTCTTGAATTATTTTAATCACAGCTACATATTTAATAAATTCTGTTAAATAATTATCTTTAATGAAGAGAATAAACTTATATGATCTTTTAACTCCTCTGGAAAATGTAGCCTACATACTTCCTCCTATAAATATGCATATCAGCCTATCATTAAGGTAAAAAACCCCAAAACCTTCCCTTTGACTCTTACAGTCTAGCTTCTCATTGTTGCTCTAAAACTATTGTTTACCTTTTACATTTCTCACTCTCTTTGACTTTTATGGAAGGCCCCCTCCCCTAAAACTCTATGTCTCTAGATCCTGAGGGACTATAATTCATTATAATTCACTGTTTTGTTTTGCTTTCTAAGGTTTTTCTCTTTTCCTTAGAATGTTCCTCTTCCTTCCTCTACCACTTAAGTGTACTAATACTCCCAGGTTCTATTTTTAGCTTTCTTCATTTCTTGCCTTGTGCCCTTTTTAGCGGAGCTCTCATTCATATGGCTTTCACACTTATTTCTATATAGATGATTTACAAATCTGTGTCTTGTAATAGTTAGAAATTCTGAGTTTGCCCCCTCATTTCCACTTGTGGCATTCCCATTTGAGTTTCTCACTATCACCTCAACCTTAACTTGTCCCAAACCAAATTGTTTTCCTACTAGTACTGACTCCTCCATTGGAACTAACTCTTGTTTTTATTGATGGTTCATAGTCACCAGGCTTCTAAAAGGAGAGGGAATACCAGCCTTTGTTTAGCATCCAGTGCACACTAAACACTGCTTTTCACTTACTGAATGTCCAGCTCAAGTTTTATCTCCTGAGAGACCTTCAAACAATCACAGTGATCCTTTGCAATCCCTTCTTCTTAGACCACTTACAGTATATTTGTATTTAAACCCATATATCCTCAGCCTGTGAATCTCCTGTAATTCATACTTTTAGTTTGTAAAACCTCTCAAAGGCAAGGATTTTTATTTCATATTTCTTTTTGTCAGCACAGTACCCCCCAGGTACAGTACAATTTAATAAGTATTTGATGATTTTTCATAGAAACAATGCTCTAAATAAGGACAAGAATATCAACTTAAATAACAAAACTAAATAAACTAAAACTAAGTAGCAAACTAATAACTCAAAATTAAATAATATTTTAGCTGTACTCTTGAACCTTGAACCCAGTTGAAAGGGGTTAGCCTCTGAAAGTGGCAGAGGCTCTTTACTTACCATTAAGGATCACCTGTTGAACAAATCTTTACTCTGTAACAGAATCTCTTTATCAGTAATACACCTTCATATAGCCATTTTATATTGCTATAACCATATTTATAGAAGGTAGTGTATTTATTTTAGCTTCTCTTCCCCGTTAGGTGCACCAGGAATAATTTCCTCACCATATGCAGGGGCTGCTGGATTTGCCCCAGCCATTGGATTTCCTCAAGCTACAGGTGACTAACTCTAAAGTTGAATTTGAAATGATTTCTTAATGATGGTCTATATTTTCCGGGAACTTATCAAAATGAAAAATATTACCATATTTGAAGGATTTATAATAAAAGCATTAGGTGTTTCAGTCATAGAAGTGGCTCATGTACAATATATGATGCACAGCTTCCTTGTGTTTATAAATAATTCTCTGTGGTTCCATTCTCAACTCCAAAATTCCCTTATATATTCTGCATCATTTATACTTGCCATTGGCACAGATAACTATAGGTTGACTATATTAATAATCTCTGATTTGCCTTTTTGGTTATTATACAAAATATATGAACTGCTTGCTTATAAGCTTATCAATTACATGTTAAACAGACTTGTGTGTTATTTATCTTTGAGTCCTTAAATGCCTTTGATGGCATTTAATACATAGTATGCAGTCAGCAAACATTTGAATTAATAAACATTTACTGTTAAACTTATTTGTAAATCCTCTTTTTTTGTTTTTTTGATTAATGGGTTTAGAAGATTACCGTAGAGGGTATGCATGCTGTTTTATTTCAGGAAAAAAATATATTTTTTTCTTTAAGTAATAGAAATAATTAAGAGATAGCAATCGGTTAATACTTTGATAATGGCTCTCTGACTCTTTTCCAAATAGTAAACAAAATGAATTTGATCATAACTTAAGGAGGAGAAAAAAATACTTTATGATTTTATTGCTGGTGCTTAAAGAATACACTTGAGGTTGGTGATTAGAAAGAAGAGTGGCTTAGTGTTAAGCCTAGTCTACACAGTACCTTTTTACAGCTTCCAGGTGATTTATGAATATAACTATTTTAAATTGCAACATAGTTGCTTTCTGGCAGTAATCTTTGTATCCTACCTTTCTAATTCTGGGAATTTTAACTACTCTCTTCACTGGAGAGGATGAAGTTAACTAAAAAGAAAAGAGTGATTTAAAAGGTTGAGGTTCATTTAAGTTTTAGGTTTTTGGTGGTTTTAAGACATCTTAACATATGTTTAATTAAGTGAGTAATTCTACCTATCCCATTAAAATGAAGGCATTATACATTGTTTTTATGTGTTTGAAGCTCCCAAAAGTTTAATTTTTATACATTTGGAGGTAGTGATATATGGTTTCCCTCATTTTAGTTATTTCTTTCTACACACTGTATGTATAAAACACTGTATTAGATGTTAAGAAAGAGAAAAAATGTGTAAAGAGGGCTCCTGAGTTGATAAGACTTTTAAGGTGTAGCAGGGGGATGTACATATACACATACACACATGTATATACCCTACAGTGTAGCTAAGGTGTAGTGTTGGCGGTATATAATAGACTTAAGGAAGTTATTCAAAAGTTGCAGGGGCATGGGAAGAGGTCATGCAAAAGACTATTGAGTATAGATTTTATGGAAAAGCAACCACCCTAAGAAGGTGATGTGCACGGTTTTAAAATTCAGCAAGATGATGGTAATAATAACTTTCCTTAGATTGTCAAGCAGAATAGTATGATTGTAAACTATATTGCAATTTAATTACATGATTTGTGATAAACTGGCCAGACTCTGTCTATTATAAGGAATTTTGAGCTTCAAGAATCAATAAATTAAATAACTGGTTTATTTTATATCAACTAGAGATTTTATCTTAGATAATTTTTAAGCTGAGAATACAAATAGTGGGACATTCTGAGGAAGTGTAGTGTTTTAGGTATAGTATATAGTGTCAATATTCCAGTATTGTAGAACTTTCAGTAGTTCTGAAATATCTGGGGGAGTAGAGAGCTCTGAAAATTCTTGCTGCAAAAGAATATTGAATTTTATAAATTTGTTCTTGATGGTAATAATGTTTTGCAAGGTTACAAAATGTTTTTTCCCCATGCAGAATGTATGTATACAATTTACCTGTTTTAGGTATACAACTCAGTGATTTTTAATAAATTTACGGAGTTGTGCAGCCATTACCACAGTCCAGTTTTAGAACATGCATTACTACCTAGCATGCATATATGTGACTTCTGCTAAAGGACTTTTTACAAAAATATGTATCTGGTTTTATGGTAGAAGTCAATATGAAAATAACATCTGCTTTAGAGAAATGTGCTGGAATATATTTGTTTTAAGAAATAGAAGGAGTACTTGTAGTTATAGACCCTTTGAAAAACCTAATGGCTTTAAGACCAGTGAATTTGGTTGCTATGCAAAGCACTGTATAAATAATAAAGTACTAAGTATGATAGTATCAACGAATAAAGAGCTCTACTTCCAGACAGACTCTGGAGGGCAGAAAACTGACCTTTGTTATCCTTATGGTAGCTTTGAAACATTTTCTTCTCTACTTTTGCTTTTGTCTTCATTTATTTACTTAAGTTGTATTAAGTGTTGTAATTCTCCAGATAACTAGAATATGAAATGCTTTTGATGTTTTGAAAAGGTCTGTCAGTCCCAGCTGGACTAGGTCCCGGAGCTCTTGGTCCTCTCGCAATCACCTCCTCTGCCGTCACTGGAAGGATGGCCATTCCTGGGGCTGGTGGTATACCGGGAAATTCTGTTCTACTTGTCACCAATCTTAATCCTGATGTGAGTTGAAAAGTATTATATGTAAAAAGTCTTTCAGGAGGAGGTATTGTAGCTTCTGACCTAGAGTTAAATTCAATGAAAATGTTTATTTTAAGAATTTTTATTAAAATTCATCACTAGTATATATAGAAGCAGCATGTAAAAAGTCAGTGCTTTGAACAAGTAAACTTACTTAAAATTTTTACTTAGACACTGATATTTTGTGTTATCCTTTTCAAACAGCTTATTACACCACATGGACTTTTTATCCTATTTGGTAAGTAAATTTTTTTGTTGTTGTTTTTTATATTATCTATGATGTGAATTGAGCATATTGCATCATTCAGTAATATTTATTACTGCTATGTGCCTACTAGTGTGTTTGACACTGAGGATAGAATAGCAAGGAAGACAGTAAGTGATTACAGTTACAACAAAATTTTATAAAAAGGGAAATAGAGATTGTAATAGGAACATACAGCTAGGAGACCTAACCTAGCTGAGGGAATCAAAGATGATGTACCAGTAGAAATGATAGTTAAGCTGACTTGTGAAAAATGAGGACACATTAGCCAGGCAGAAAGGGAGGGCAAATGTCCTTTCACAGATAGTAGCAGTGAGAGACAGAACTCGTGGAACATAGAAATGAAGGAAGCTCAATGAAGAGTGTAAGGGAGAGACATGTTGAAGCTGGGCAGATGGATAGGGGCAAGGTCATTAAGAGCTTTATAAGCTATATTAAAGAGCTTCGTTTTTAACTTAAGAACAGTGGGAATCCATTGACTAGTTTTAAACAGGAGAGAGGCATAATGAGATGTTGATTATAAAAATAATCCCCTAACTTTCCAATAGTGTGCCTCTCAGTTAAAAAAAATATTTAGCCAGGTACTCCTAATTTATATATGATTAATTATTCATAAATTTCATCCATCTTTTACTATAGTCTTTAGTATAATATGTACAAACAAATATAAGAGCAATGAAGTGATATTTAATATTTTAAAGATTTTTCTTATGACACTTTTTAAAATAAAAATCTATTAACATTTAGTGAGAAGTATGATTTAATATACTTCATTATTTTCAAAAACCTTTTTCATTTTGGTTCAGTATCCCACGAACTGATTCTAAATTCACTTTATTTTAGTACTTGATCTTAATGGTTGTCATAAATGAAAAAGATACCTCATAAAGATATGCAAGGGAATCCTCTGGCGGTCCAGTGGTTAGGACTCAGTGCTTTCACTGCCAGATCCCAAGTTCAGTCCCTGGTCTGGGAACTGAGAATCCTGCAAGCTGCGTGGGCACGGCCAAAAAAAAAAAAAAAAGATAGGTGATTTGAATGGAAGTGTTTCATTGTTGCTGTACTAAATAATTATGATACTAATTTTGCAGTCTAATCCACTAAATTTTGTTGTACTTTACCTAGAAAAGTTCCATTTTTCCTCTTGTTAAATTAGTTGATCTTGAAAACTGTTAACATTAGCATAATGGGGTTAAAACTCACTCTTCATGTGGAAGAATTTTTAAGAGGATGGAAGATTGTTTCAAATTTTTTGAGTGGGTAATAGGTTTTTTTGTTTTGTTTTGTTTTGTTTGCGGTACGCAGGCCTCTCAGTGTTGTGGCCTCTCCCGTTGTGGAGCACAGGCTCCGGACGCGCAGGCTCAGCAGCCATGGCTTACGGGCCCAGCCGCTCTGCGGCACGTGGGATCTTCCCGGACCGGGGCACGAACCCATGTCGCCCGCATCGGCAGGCGGACTCTCAACCACTGTGCCACCAGGGAAGCCCGGCAATAGGTTTTTTTAACAGCGTTTTGTTTGTTTGTTTGTTTTTTGCGGTATGCGGGCCTCTCACTGTTGTGGCCTCTCCCGTTGCGGAGCACAGGCTCCGGACGCTCAGGCTCAGCGGCCATGGCTCACGGGCCCAGCCGCTCCGCGGCATGTAGAATCTTCCCGGACCGGGGCACAAACCCGTGTCCCCTGCATTGGCAGGCGGACTCCCAACCACTGCGCCACCAGGGAAGCCCTTAACAGCGTTTTTGAGATATAATTTACAGCCATTACAATTCTCTGACTTCAGATGTACAACTCAGTGATTTTTAGTAAATTTATAGAGTTGTGCAGCCATTACCACAGTCCAATTTTAGAATATCTCTATCAGCCCACAGAGAAACATTATACTCATTTGCAGTTACTGTAAAAGTTTTTATTCATGACACATTTATGTAATTTTCATTAACAAAATCATTTATTAATGCTAAATGTTCATGTCTCTTTAATAGCCAGAGCACATTTCTTTCCAAAAGTAGTTAATTTCTCACTCATTTAGAAAAATATCACCCTCAGCTTGAAGAACAAATTGTGTGTTATTTTTTACAGAGTATCTATTTCAGCCACTTGTCATTTCTGAAAAGGGCAGCAAATTTGGAATACTTGTCTTTTTTTTTTTTAATTTTAAAACTACCATTCATCTCTTCAGTTTAGTTGCTCTTAGGGGCTTGCCCACAAGATAACCAATACTCCTTTGTGTGCCTTGAAGATTGTCATAGTCATTCTCTCATCCTATTACAAAGTATGGTAATGATGCTACTGTTTAAAGATCTTATTTTTATGATATTGGTGAAACCCTGTTCCACATAAATTGCAATATATATTAATACACTAAATTTTAAAAAATGAGAGAATGCCCTTCATATTGTAGAAACTTCTGTATATAATTTCTTCTATATGTTGAAAATTAGTAAAATGCAGTTTTTCATACTGGTTTATATAAACAAATCAGTACAAGTAAAAGTTTATTTTCCTCCCACACCCCAGTGAATCATTTTGCCTGCTTTTGGGGATGTGGGACCCACTTTGGGGAACACTAGCATAGAAAAAATGGATGTAATGAGATCAGTTAGGAGGCTATGATGATAGTCCAGATGTGAATTGGTGATAATAGGTTTGATGGTAGTGAGGATGGGAAGAAGTGGACAAATGTGAGAGATATTTAGGCCATAGAATCAGTGAGTGCTGGTAGTTGACTGGATGTGTAAGTGTCTAAGGAAAGGGGTAAGTCAAAAGATGACTCCCAGATGTCTGACTGGAGCAAATATGTGCATGATGGTACTGTTTATCAACAGAGTTAGTGAACACAGGAGGGTGCAGGAAAGAGCAGGTGAATCAGTTGAAGTGTTTATGGGACATCCAGGTGAAAGGGGGTACTAGATTAATAAATCTGGAACATAGAAGAGATTACAAATTTGGGAGCATTTGTATGAAATTGCCCAGGGAAAGCATATAGTATGAGAAAAGAAGCTTTCTTTAAATATATTAGTAAAGTTAATTGAACATTACACAATCAGCATTTAAAAATTGTTTTGTTTTGTCTTTTTAATTAGGAGTATATGGTGATGTACATCGAGTGAAGATAATGTTTAATAAGAAAGAAAATGCATTGGTTCAGATGGCAGATGCAAATCAAGCTCAGCTAGGTACTAATGATTAATAATAATAATGATAACCTGCCCCCTTTGTATGTGAATTTTCCTATAAAATAAACTTATGGCTAGTAGGAAGAGTACCTCCTTATGTTAATATCTCTATTATTATTTGGATCTGCTTATATTTTAAGATTTTAAAATATTTATTATTCTTTGAAGTTCATTTATCTATTTGAATATATTGTTGATGTTTAGAGCTTTGACTCTAGGGTTTTTCCATTAGCTTTAAACTAATAAACATGACTTGTTTTCTTTCATTTTATTTGTTTGTTTGCTTATTTATTTTCCTTTCAAATTAAGTTTTCTAGAACTGTTGCATGGCATAACAGTTTGGGAATACTTCATAATGATGGTTCAAGAAAGTGTCATTCTACAATCTCACCGTTTATAGTGGCTGTTGAAATATTATTACTCAGATTTTTTATTATAAAAAGCTTTACTTGGGATTAAAAATAGATAGCCAGTGGGAAGCAGCCACATAGCACAGGGAGATCAGCTTGGTGCTTTGTGACCACCTAGAGGGGTGGGATAGGGAGGGTGGGAACGAGACACAAGAGGGAGGAGACATGGGGATATATGTATAGTATAGCTGATTCACTTTATACAGCAGAAACTAACACACCGTTGTAAAGCAGTTATACTCCAATAAAGATGTTAAAAAAAAAATTTACTTGAGATTAAACTAATTTATTCAATAATCATTTCCTGAACATGTGGTATGTTTCAGGCATTCTGGAACTTTCTAGCACTCTGCTAGGAAAATAGTTACTTTTCGTTGTATTGCTTTTCTTTCATTACAGAAAAACAGTCATTTAATACATTTTCGTATATAAGAGTTTTTAAATTTAAAACCATTTTTAAGCCCTCAAACTGACAGTATAATTTTTTAAATGACTAAATAAAAAGAATTATGATAGACAGTTTTACAGAGACTCTATCTTAGTACCCAGACTTTCCTTATTTTCTTCTTATGCACCAGCAATGAACCATCTGAGTGGTCAAAGACTTTATGGGAAAGTGCTTCGTGCTACACTGTCCAAACATCAAGCAGTTCAGCTTCCTCGAGAGGGACAAGAAGACCAAGGTCTGACTAAGGATTTTAGCAATAGTCCTTTGCATCGCTTTAAAAAGCCTGGCTCTAAAAACTTCCAGAATATTTTTCCACCATCAGCTACTCTGCATCTTTCCAACATCCCGTATGTATCTAATTAGTTACTATTCATTTAGATGATTAATAATCTACAGTATATGGTTTGGGGAGGTAAAAACTGAAATTATTCTAACGTAGCAGTTGTCCTATTCACTAATTTCTCGTAAGATGATTTATTTGCCATCATGTCTTAAGAAGTTTATCTCTAACCATACACTATGAAAGTGAAAGATAGCAATGTTTTAAATTTTTCTTTCCAAACAGAGAATTAGCGCCTGTTAACTTTCAGTTATAGAATGGCAAAAATCTGTGCAGAAATATTCCACTGGTGTATACTTGTTCATCCTTTTGTATAAGTAAAGACCCTTTAGTGTCCAGCATAGCAAAATCAAATAATTTATGTATCTAAGAATTTGGTAAAACTGAATTCTCTATTTTTTACCTACAAGCTGCAAAGCCATATATATATCTAAAAGCTAAAAATTTTCTTGTAACCACTCTGTATTTAACCAGTGTTGTAGCAGACTTGTTCTTTAGTCATCATCTAACTTAGAGATCGACAAACTATAGCCTATGGTCCAAATCCGTCTGTTTTGTAAGGCCCATGATCTAAGATTGGTTTTTACATTTTCAAGTGGTTACGGAAAAACAAAAGAAAAAATTTTTGTGATTTGAGAAAATTACATAAAATTAAAATTTCACCTTCCATAAATAAAGTTTCATGGAACACAACCACATTTATTCATTTATGTATTAGCTATAGCTGCTTTTGAGCTATAACAACAAAGCTGAATAGTTACAACAGAGGCTATATGGCCATCAGAGCCTAAGAAATTTACTGTATGGCCCTTTATAGAAAGCACCTGGCAACCCCAGTTTTAATTCTTGAAATCCTTGACGTACAAAGGGGACTGTGTTGGGCTTTCTCTAGTTGTGGTGAGCAGGGGCTGCTCTTTGTCACATTGTGCGGGCTTCTCATTGCAGTGGCTTGTCTGTGGCAGAGTGTGGGCCCAGTAGTTGTGGTACATGGGCTTAGTTGCTCCGCGGCATGTGGGATCTTCCCAGACCAGGGCTTGAACCTGTGTCCCCTGCATTGGCAGGCGGATTCTTAACCACTGCGCCACCAGGGAAGTCCCAAGTTGGCAATTTTATATAATTTAATCTAATACATGAAGAGGGATAAGCTTTGGGAAGGAAGGGTAAAAGCTGTGGGGTATAGTTGTGTGCGAGCACCTGTGTGAAAAGTTAAAGACTGAGGAAATGGAGAAGGGTACATTACTGGAATATTTCTGAGAATGAGAATGGGATTTGAATAGGAAGAGAAAATAATTATTCAAAATGCTGTTGAATGCCCAGGCTCCTAGCTAGTCTCCAATTAGGCTATATGGAGAAACCTTGAATCCGAATTGGGCAATGGCTCAAACCTCATGCCAGCCAGGCAACTGGAAGAGTCACTTGAGAAAAAAATCTAGAAATTTAGCACCTCATCACTACAGAGTCAGGGAGAGAGGCAACATATTTAAATACTAAAGCAGGCTCCCTCTTAAGTACATTTATCCAGGAGCTGGTCTCAAGTTGCAACCTGCATTGGACATGTAGGTAGAAGAGAGAAAAGACGTTAATACTTTTTTTAACCATCTGCCAAGCCTGGGCACTGTGCTGGTGTTTTACGTGTGTTACCTCATTTAATCTCCATAATCTTCTTTTAAAATTGTGGTTAAATACATAACCTAAGTTTTACCATTTTAACCGTTTTTGAGTGTACGTTCACATTAAGTACATTCATAGTGTGCAACCATCACTTATATCCATCTGCGGATCCTTGTCATCATCTCAGACTAAGGCTCTGTACCCATTAAACAGTATTTCCTCGTTTCTCTCTAACCCCAGTCCCTGGTAACCACTATTCTACATTCTGTCTCTAGCAATTTATCCATAATAACATTTGGAGTAAAGGTCATTAGTTTCGTTTTAACAATGAAAGTGAGAGACTCAGATTAAGTAACTTAAGAGTGACATACCAGGTGAATGAAAAATAGAATGTGAACTTATATCTGTCTCCTTACAGAGCCAATTATTGTTCTATAACACCCTCCTTGCTGGGAGTTGTGAGATGAGGAAGAGTCTGCTTTTAGTCAGTTGACTCTCATGTGATAGACCACTGTATTAGTTATCTACTGCTGCGTAATAGATCACCCCAAAACTTAACAGCTTAACACAATAGTAGATGTTCATTATCTCAAACTGTTACTGTAAATCAGGAATCCAGAAGTGGCTTAGCTGGGTGGTTTTGGCTGAATCTCTCATAAGGTTGCATCTGAAGGCTTAACTGGGGCTAGAGAATCCACTTCCAAAGTGGCTCACCATATACTTAGTTGTTGACAGGAGGCCTCAGTTCCTTGCCACAAGGAGCTCTCCATAGGGCTGCTGATTGTCCACGTGAAATAGCAGCTGGTTTCTTCCAAAGCTAGTGATTCAAGAGAGGGCAAGGTGGAAATTGCAGTGTCTCTCAGCCTCAGAAGTCACATGTGTCATATCTACAATACCCTAAGGGTTACAGAGGACATCCTTATTAGATATGGGAGGGGAGTACCAAAAGTGTGAATACTAGGAGGCAAGAGTAGTTGGGGGCTATCTTAGAACGTGGTTACCACATACACATGTTCATAATTACCCTGAAAGTAATTGAAAATCTACTGGCCTAGTAGTGGAAAACACTGGACCATAGAAGACAAGTCAGAGCTAGGGAAGTATCTTTGGAAGTGCTAGAGTTAATTGTGGGTAATAATCCCATTGAAAGAATAAATATAGAAAGATTTTCTTGTTCTTTATATACTGCCCATGTCCTGTGCAAAAGATTTGAGGCAAAATTCCATCATTTGAGAACATGTATGCATCAACCTTGAACATCTTTCAGGGCACTTGCAAATCATGTCTTCATGGCGTGGCTTTATGCTCTTTGAAATGTGAAAATTCTGGAGACTTGATGATTTCAGGAGTTAATCTTTGCATCATTTAAAAATTAGGGATAAGATAGTTGACTCTCTCTGTAATGTTTTCACAGCCCCTCTGTTACAGTAGATGATCTGAAGAACCTTTTCACAGACGCCGGATGTTCAGTGAAGGCTTTTAAATTCTTTCAGTAAGTCCAGGCTTTTAAGAAATACATTAACATTATTTAATATGATCTGTAAATGTTTAAGGTAGTTTAATGAAGTCTTCTAGGTCTGGGGAAGAGGTTTGTAGGCAAAATTAATTCTATATGCTTTTTCTATTTCTTCTACCGTTTTCAGGAAAGATCGCAAAATGGCACTCATTCAGTTGGGATCTGTGGAAGAAGCAATCCAGGCTCTCATTGAACTTCATAACCATGACCTTGGAGAAAATCACCACCTCAGAGTTTCCTTCTCAAAATCTACAATCTAACTTTTCTGTGAATTTTTCTCCTAAGACTGGACCATAATTTTAGTAAAACCCTTCAGACATAGACTGAAGCAGCTCAAGACCAATTCTGCCTCTTTCACAAAAATAACTCTTCCTGAGTTTGATATTCAAGTATATTCAAAAAATCATGGGATGTTCTCTTTTCCCTTAAACCCTCTGCCAATACATCACCAGAGGCGTGTTTTTCCTGTCCCATAGTTTCTAAAATGAAAATAATCTTCAGGAAAAAAGAATCAGGAAAAAATTTTTTTTCAATAATTTAATTCCCTATATTAAATTGGATTTCAAGAGGATGGTCTTTCTTTTCGTTTGGGTCCAGATCAGCCTTATACAACATTTCTAAACTCCTTTGTACTTTGAAAAATTTAAACATATAGACTTTTAAAATTACTTGACATAAGTAATTTAAATTACCTACAACCAAGATTTTAACTGTATGATTCAGAAGTTTGACTCCTCTAGAAAACTGTGTTCCCTTATAAGTTACATCAGTTATTTGGCATATACTGATACTTACTATACATAAACAAATTGGGTTGTATTGGAAGCAAATTTATAAATCTGCGTGTTTTCTTTCACTTTTTTTTTCCACTGTAAGACACTCCTTTGCATATCTTTAACTTTTTAAGACTATTTGGAGAATGAAGTGTCTCAACTGTCTCCAGGGAAATTAAGTCGAATCTAACCAGGATCTATTAAGATGTCAGAATAATTAATAATTTTATTAGGAAAAAACATGTTTTAAATTTCAAAATGACACTTGCCGAATAATATAATATGATCTTGGAAAATTTAAAAAGAAAAATAATCCTACTTATAAACTACTTTTTTATAGTTGTTTTCAGAAAAAAGTTTACAGTCTTAAGGAAAATATTCAGGTCTATCATATGGTTTGACAGATTTTTTAAAAGTTATTTTTGGTAAAGTCTTCTTTTAGAAAAAAATCAATCTCAAGGGTTTTTTGTACCACTATAATCTCTAATACTTATTCAGAATTACTGTGTATTTACTTAATTTCCTATTATGTGCCTTATTATGTGCTTATGATATAATAGGTTAGACTTTTATCTAAGTATCTTGAAAGCTATATCGTGGGCTTGGTGAGCATTTGTTTTTTCTTTCCCTGTTTTGGTAAGAATTTTAAAGTTTTTTTCATTGCAATTTTAAGTGATTTTCAATAACTACTAGTTTCTATTCAAATTTTTGGTGCTTTGGTGTAGAGATGGGGTGAGGAAGGGTTAAATGGTTTGGGGAATAACTCAGTGCACACCTGTAGGCCTCTTCATGTTGTGACCAATAGTGGTCATTGCCAGTTATAGCATACCAATTTGGGGCTATAACATGCAGTCTCAGTTCTGGATCTTGTCTGATCTTTATCACCCATTAGAATTTGTCTCAGGATTACTTGGTTTTTGTCATATACTCGTGAGAACTTGCTTTTCTTTGTTAATGTAACTTCATTACTGAGTGCCCACATATATGGAGTATGAGAAGGTGGATTCTTTCTCATACTCTGTCCCTCTTTTTAGTTGAATGTGAGAGTACATTTTAATGTTGCTTCAGTGATTGTATAATGTAAAATTGTTTCTTTTTAGTTAGATACTTTGCTTTTGTTAATTCCTTCAGTGCTTGATCGGATTTTTTTAAAGCAGAATTTGTTAAAAGGGTCATTTTTGTCCACCCCTTTTACACTTTTCAGATTCTCAGAGTGGTTCATCTCACCTTTTAAAAGAATATCTCAATTTCTTTGCTATATTCCAGCCATTAATTTGAACACAGGAAGAAATTTTATAAAAAATTGGAGACTACAAAAGATAATTGTTAAAAAGCAGAATTCACTCAACGCTGAGCAACAATTAGTTATTAGAATACAAAGGAGGACACTATATTGAGATCTTTCAAATGGATCAATTTTACTATTGGCTGATAGGTATAATCATTTATCTAATTTTTATTTTTTTCACTTATGAAATATATTTTTACCAAAACACTGAGTAAGAGGGAAGGGGGAAAAAATGATTTCTTTAAGAAATCTCCCCAAATTGCTTCATTTTTTTCCTTCCATACAGGCACTATTATAATTTTCAGTGGCATGTTAAATTGGTTTTTTTTTAGTTAGGAATTACTGTGTAGTTTTAATTCATGATTCCTATAACAGTCAGTGTAAGTGTAGCAGAAGTGTAGCAGAAGGGAGATCACAATGGTATTGAATGTAATTTTGAAGTAGGGAATGGCCTTCATATTTGAGAGAGAACATTTGAATCCTTTTCAGGGATTTGTGCGCGCGCGTGTGTGTGTGTGTATAGATAAGTGTATATACATACATACACTTTTCTAGTGTTGTACATACATATGCACATTACATACATCTTAATTTATTGACAAAGAACATTAATCAAATTAAGATTTGGAAAAGGTGAGATATTCTTGTTTAAAATAGTGTGTTTGCAACCATCAATTTGTGTCTAAAATTAGCTGTAGCACATGGATGTTGTCCATATTGGGCTATTTGCTCTTTGAATTATAGAGGTCTACAGTATTTGTGTTGGTATAGTTTCTGTAAAAAGATTTTAAAATATCAGGGCAGTGGAAAAACTAGATCTTTGTATTTTTTGCTTTGGCATGCATGTAGTTGATATCTTCTGAGCAATGTTTATTTTTGCTGTTGAGCTGTCATAGTATCCTATTTTTAAGTTTATTTACTTAATTTTAAGGAGTATTGTCTTATTTTTGGAGGTGTCTGACTTTGACACAAAGTATGTATATTCAGGACTTTATTAAAAAATAGCAGTACATGTTTAACAGTAGCAATTTATGCCAAAAAGTTCTACTTTGAGATTTAAATAACTTGCATAGCAGTAAATTGTTTTTCCTGTGAGATACAAATAGAAAAATAACCTTAATAATTTGATAACTTACAGGAGAGTATCAGAATTACCCAATAGCTCCTGCAGAATGCCATAAATTCGTTATTTAAGGCTAAATATTGTTATGTTAATTTGTAGTAATGTTTCTGATTTTGTTGAAAGTTGCAAATCTCACAGTTTTTAGAGACGCAATTTTTGCCTGCCTATTCCTTATGGAAGCAATGCCTTTTTTTGGCTCCACCTAGGATGGTGATTATAGGTTCTGCTTCAGTTGATTAAAAGTAACTCTCATGAATGTCTCTGATCAGTTTTATATAAACTTTTGAAAGCTTCCATGTCATTAGGCAGCAAAGGTTATACATTTATATTAACATGTAATTCCTCTTCGGTTTCCACTAAGTATTTTTGGACAAAAGATGACAAGCTCAAAAGTATGTATCCCCCCCCCCCACCCAGTGAGTCACTTAAAAGCCCTGTTTGCCAAACTATCAGCCTATCTCTTAGAAAACCTAGTGTGTACTGCTATTTTTAAAACCAAAAAGACAGCATGACTATGCGTAAAAGCATTTTTCTTAACTTTTCCTTTGTCTTTATCTGTTGTTAACAAGAATAAAACTGCCAGACTTAAAATATTCTACTGTTGTGCTAAAAGAAATACAATTTAGATTGCACAGAACTTTTTCTTTAAAGAAAATATAACTCAGCTGTCTTTTAAGAGCTGTGTTATTGTCTACAAGACTATTTGCAGTCTTTTTTCAGAGCAAATTTTAACAGCTAGTTGTGAATGATTTAAAAAATAGAAAATTACTAAAATATTAGTTTTGGGGGTTTTATAGAGGGAGAAAAACAAAACAGGACCAAAGGTTATGTGCCTTCTTCAGTAGTCTTAATTGATCTTTTCTTCCTATTTGAGACTAAGGTAGTATCAGTATTCTGGTTTTCAGGAAATACATACTATAGTTTTAAAAGAATGTTGTCCCACACACCATCCGTTCAAGCAAACAGTTGTAACTGTAAAATGAAGTCTCAGTTACACTTTTTGCCTTCATCACATAATATTCATTATATAGCATTGTGCAGGTCCAAGAACAGAGCTGCTCGTAATCTTTGTGGTAGTCATCTTAGTTTCTGTAACCAGAGGCATATGTTCCAGAGAACAGGGATATTTTTCTGGTCCAGTGACCTTGGTGATAATAGTCATGATTGAAAGCTGCTCATGGCAAGCTTAAATCAGCACTGTAAACAGATTTTTGTTGTTGTTGTTACATTATTTTTAGTTCTTGAATCTATGTAGTAGTTGTAATAACAAATATTTAAATAGCTATTTTTGATGTCATTAAAAAAAATCATACTCTAGCCTTTTTTCCCCCTTACCATTGTTACTCAGATCTTTAAAAAATTCATCCCACATCCAAAAAGTACTAATTATAAAGACTGCTGACCAAGCAAAGTTTTGCATCAAAATGTCACCTCATTGCTCTGACCAAAGACTGACTGTTCTGGTTTTGACTCCTTTCTGTTAAGCATTTCTTTTCCCAAGCTCCTTTCTGAAAGAAGATCCAGTGCAAAGCGGCCTTTACTTTCTATTTCCTATCGGCGAATAGACTACTTAGAGAAAATGGGAGTTTAAATGTGAACAGAATGGATTAGGACAACATGGGTTTTATGGGCATTTTCAGTACTGTATTTAAGGAAAAAAAAAAAAATAGCACAGCTAGGAGCCTCTGACATTGTCTCGTGTTTTATGTGGTCTGTTCATAAAATTCCCTTTTTCAGTTTATAAGAATGTTCATCTAACAGAAGAAAATGCTGTAAATATTTGTAACAACATTTTTTAAAACCAGGCCGAAAAAGAAAAAAAAACGGTTTTTGGGAACAAGTTAACATATAAAGTGGTTTTATATAAAACATCAGTTGTCTTGTATATTTTGATAAGCAACAGTACCAGCTTTCATTTGTAACACAGTTTGTGGCATTGGAAGAAAAGGATTCTGTGATTACTGAAGTGAATTATGTTATAAATGCAAAGAGAAGATAAAATATTAAAAAACATATTTTCTAAGTGCGTAGTGCATGGTTAATTCAAGCTTCTGTACACTACAATATATTCCATTTTTGTTTGTGTATTTGCTGACTATTACTTGATATCTCTAATCTCTTTCCTAACAAGTATAGCATTGTAGCATGCCTTTTAATAAATGTCATGACATCTGTACTCTCTTAAAAATATTTCTGTGTTCTTGTCTGTACTTTGGGTTTCCCCTTGTCTTACCTGTAATTCTAATGATGTCATATTTTCTTTGTCATAGCCATCCATCTAAACTTGTTATAGTGAGAGCATAGCAAGCACATATTCATACCACTTTAAAAACTGAAAAACCTTAAGTGTACTAATCACCTCTCTTTTACTTAAGGAACAGTTCTCATTTTGAGAAACAGAATGCTTTTCTAACCATCCTACAAATAGCTTCTTCAGTGGCACACCCCCTTTGTACAAGTACATGTTGGCACATTTGCATGAGTGATGTCTTTCGCTCTCTTTCTGTGCATCTCTCTCTCTCTCTCTCTCTCTCTCTCTCTCTCTCTCTCTCTCTCACACACACACACACACACACTATATGTGCAATGCCAAAGAAGAGTTGGAACATTTTTCCAGTTCAGTTTTTGACTTCCCTAGGGATGAGTATACATAAATTTTGAGACATTTCGAGGTGTGATCTCAAACCAAGTTTGTGTTTTTTTTGATGGAAGGGTAACACAGTTACCAGCTGCCTATATATTGCTTTTCCATAGGCAAATGTTTTATTTCTAGGTTCTTTAAAGCGTTATTGGATTGTAGGAGTCTAAGCAGTCATTTATTTTAATCTTTTATTCTAGGATCTTTTTTTTTAAATGTTTATTTATTTGACTGTGTAGGGTCTTAGTTGCCACATGTGGGATCTTTCCTTGTGGTTCGTGGGCTCTTTGTTGCTGCGTGCGGGCTTCTCTAGTTGCAGCACATGGGCTTCTCTCTAGTTGTGGTGCACAGGCTCTAGAGCACACGGGCTCAGTAGTTGTGGCACGTGGGCTTAGTTGCCCCACAGCATGTGGGATCTTAGTTCCCTGACCAGGGATCGAACCCTTGGATTCATTGGAAGGCGGTTTCTTAACCTCTGGACCACGAGGGAAGTCCCTATTCTAGGATATTTTTGCAAGTGGGAATTTTTTCTTGGGGGGGGGGGATTTATTTTTAATGGAATAGAAAACTAGGTAACTACTGCTGATCTTTGCTGGCTCATCTAAAATCTATTGTCTCCGTGAATGTAACTAGATCAATTTTTTTTTAAGATCTAGAGGCATTTTTATCAGGAAAAGATAAAATAGCCCTATGGCCAAATAGGTTTTTATAAACTTGCTTGACCATGAAATGCTTATTTACAGCAGAGGCTTGTAACCATCATTAACAGTCACAAAGTCTTGAGTATAAATGGATCTAAGAGGCTACCTAGTTCAATTTCCACCTTTTAAAGATGAGTGGCTCAGAGAAGGAAGTGACTTGCCCAAGGCCACATGCCAGTTAATGGCATAGTCTGGACTAGAACCCAGGTCTCCTTAACATTATCCAGTACTCTCCATTGCACCCTGATGTTGCAGTTCTGCCCTGCCAAGTGTTGTGAGGGTCGTGTTCTTGAAGGTCTGTACATGGGGTTGGGGCGTTACTCTTCTGAGAACTGCCAAAACCAATTTAAAGGCATTGCATAAGTGCTGGGGGTGTTTTTTCTGCTGAAGAGTAAAAATGCCTACCTACTTCTGAAAACTTTAAAAATGTAATTTCAAGTTGCAAATTTGAGAAAGCTAACTCTTAAAAAAGTAGTTACTACAGTATATGTATTAGTTTGCTAGTGCTGACATAATAAAGTACCACAGACTGGGCAGCTTCAACAACAAAAATGTGTTTTCTTACAGTTCTAGAGGTTAGAAGTCCAAGATCAAGGTGTCACCAGGGTTGATTTCTTCCGAGACCTCTTTCCTTGACTTGTAGGTGGCCATCTTCTCCCAGTACCTTCACATGATCTTCCCTCTGTATGTGTCTGTATCCTAATCTCTTTTTATAAGGACACCATTCATATTGGATTAGGGCCCACCCATCTGATCTCATTTTACCTCAGTTACCTCTTTAAAGGCTATATCTCCAAATACAGTTACATTCTGAGATACTGGGGTTTAGGACTTCAACAGAAGAATTTTGATGGGATGTAATTCAGCTCTTAACACTGTTCAGTGAAAATTATTCCTTCAGTTCACCAAGTACTGATTGTACCAGAACTGAGCTTTGTGCTGGGAAAGATAATGAAAGGTTAGGGATATGGTGATTTACCTTTTAGAACTGTGTAATCTAGTGGAAATGTCAGCCTAAATCCATAAATCAAGTAGTCTTCAACTCTTTCCTTCAATGGAAAGCCCCCCAAATGGATCATAAGGCCTCCCTCTAGGCCATTCTAACCAGAATACACATGGCTAAAGCTATCCTACAGCTAATTATGAATATGTAGGAACACATACCCTGCAATAATTATTTCTAAGAAATGTCATTTCAGAGCAATGATCATTTCTAAGACATATGCCATTACTTGAACAGTTGCAGAAATAAGAAGATACTGTCAAACAAGCTGTACCCAGTTTTTAATGCCCAACATTTGTAAGTAATTAAACTGGGATGCTATGTTAGGAATAGTTAGTTAAAAGTATTAAACCCACTTTGTTTACTGTTTGTGTGATCCTACATCAATGATTTTTTTTCTATTGTCTACTTCCAATGGAAATTCTTCACTATATGTTTCTATCAAAACAATTTATGTTGAACTTACAAAATTCTATAACAGTTTTCTTAGAATTAGTGCATTTGTAATCATTGGGTTCAGATGTAGAACTCCTACCTCTGCTATTATAAAAAAGTATAATTGAGTAGGAAAAGTTAATGAGTGTAATGTTCCATGAAGATCCCTTTATCTATTTTCTTTCATTTCTATGTTTGTTCTAAGGACATAGGGTAACAGGAAAAACTCATTGGTTTTGTTGGAATAAATTGCCCACAGTTCAGTTAAGTAAGCACCTATATCCTTGTTCTATGCCTAAAATTATGGAATTATCTAAGTCCTTGATCCTACAGAAAACAAATGTCAAATTCTAACCTGTTAAGAGATTGTCTTTAGCCAAATGAAAGCCAGTATTATATGTTAGACAAAGTACACGTTAGGGCAACAGGCACTATGAGAGAGAAAGAAATTTCATAACAATGTATTTTTATAGTGGAATACTTTATACAAGTGAACACAATAAAGCTACATAAAACCTACAGGGAGGAATCTCACAGATGTGATGTTGAACAAAGGAAGCCATACACAGAAGAAAGTGTAATGTATAATTCTATTTACATCAAGTTCAGAAATAGGGTAGTGGTTACCTTTGGGAAGGAGGTAATTGAGGGCTTGAGGAGAGGTTTCTGGTTTGTGGTTAATGTTTTATTTCTTAACCTTTGTACCAGTTACCCAGGAGTGTTTACTTTCTGATAATTCATTGAGCTTGTACACTTAGGATTTGTGCATTTATCTGTGTATTATACTTCAATTAAAAGGATTTTGAAAAATGATTGTAATTGAGCGAGGAACTGTAAACCATTCTCCTAGCTTCTTAAATCAGCTGATTATTCTACTCAGTAAGTAAGGCCATGTTATAAAGTACTCAAGATACCATGCACTGAGTTTCATCATGGCACTCTGCTGCATATCTGTATATTGCATTTCTCTGACCATGGCATACCTATGGGAAAAATGTTTCTCTGACAAAACAAAAATCACACCGTGTTTTCAAGTAAATTTTATCATTTTGAGTGGTTTTACACTCCACTAGCTTCAGAAAAGATTTCATTAATACATTTTAGTTTTGTTTTTGCAAATATAAGCCTGATCTGGTAGGTTGTTTGATATCTAACCCCTTATGCATTTCCATCAAGAAAAGCCAGAAAAACCTACCTAGCTCTCTGGCATCCTACGAGGAGACTTTATACAAAAGGCTTAGCAGAACTTCTTGGCATTAAGAGTCTTATTAAGAATCTTATCTTAAATATATACTAGTTAGTATAGTAGGATGGAGCCCCATGTTCCCAATACACAACTACAACTAGTGGCAACTCTTGTTTCATCTGCTCTTCATCCACTCCCTGGATTATTTTGAAACAAATCCTAGTCTTCATATAATTTCATCTCTAAATATTTCAGTATTTATAAATCCATACATTGCAATTGTTGATACAGTCTTTTAATATATAGCTTTCCTTTCCATCCTTTTTTTTCCCTTGCAACTTGTTGAAGAAATTGAGCTATTTTGTGAAAATTCTAACAATCTGGATTTCGCTGATAATGTCCGCATGATATTATTTCTTTAATAGGTCTCCCCACCTCAAATTTTCTCTAAATTGGGAGCTGCTTCTTTCCTTACCTCCTGCCTGCCTCCCTCTTTTTTTTTGGCAAGAATATTTCATAGATGGCACTGGGCACTTATATAATGTGTCTTTTCTTGTGATGGTAGTAGCCATTGCTGATCATTGCATAGGTCAATTATATTTAGGGATTGCAGAATGGCAAAGTTCTATCTTTTTGTGTGATATATTTGGATTACTTCTATGTAATAAGAGAAACTTCCCAATATCAACTATTTGGTTACTCTGAGGTACAATATCTATAGGAAAGACAAGATAAACGCTTGATTCTTCCACTTGCCTGTTTTTGAAATAATTACTTTGCTTCCTATCATGCTTCAAAAATTAGTTTACCTTGGTTTTTTTTAAACTTGTGTTTTTATGAAAAATTTCAAACATTTTTAAAAGAAAGACTAGCACAATGAAACTCATGTTCCTGTCACCTAAATAATGCATTCATATTCAGTGTTTTATCTTCTATAACCATACTCATTCTGTCCTTCTACTTGGAAAATTATTGACTTAAATTCATTTTACACAGTAGTTTTCAAACTGGTTAAAAAGTTGTATATAATATTTAAAATTTTCTGCCTTGGGACTTGCCTGGTGGCGCAGTGGTTAAGAATCCGCCTGCCAGTGCAGGGGACACGGGTTTGAGCACTGGTCCAGGAAGATCCCATATGCCGCAGAGCAACTAAGCCCATGCGCCACAACTACTGAAGCCCACGTGCCTAGAGCCCGTGCTCCAAAACAAGAGAAGCCACTGCAGT